CATCCATTTCCCCAAAGCGTGCCGCCAAGGACCCCAGCAGTCCCCCACCGACTCAGTCATCTTCACCTTGACCATGTCATTCACTCTCGGTCCGGGCTATCCTCACTTCCCTGGGAACACCAAGCACATTGCCCCTTTCTAGCGTCCTCCACAGGGTCCTAAGGGGCTTGGAGGGTTCTGCACCATCTCTGTCCCAGGCGGCAGTGGGAGGCTTTTGAGGTCGGAGGAGCCTCTTTCACATGTACACCAGCATCTTGACCTTGCGCGTGGTAGATGGAAATCCGTGTGGGACATGACTTACACTGTCGTTAGTGAGATGTCTGTTAGAACGCGTGAATGGAAGCTTACAGCAGTGGGTGGGGGCGTGAGGGGGTGCATGCGTGAGGGGGTGTGTGCGTGAGGAGTGGGGCGTGAGGGTTGTGTGCGTGAGGGGTGGGGCGTGAGGGTTGTGTGTGTGAGGGGTGCGTGCGTGAGGGGGTGTGTGCGTGAGGAGTGGGGCGTGAGGGTTGTGTGCATGAGGGGTGGGGCGTGAGGGGTGCGTGCGTGAGGGGTGCGTGCGTGAGGGGTGGGGTGTGAAGCGATGTGGGCAGAGACCTCAGATGTTCAGGCAGTGAGGTTTTGACTGACTACAAGCACATGCTGTGAATAATTTAATTTTTTAGTGAAAGAAAATTGCAAACAGGGATTCTGGCAGGCAGAGTTAGGGAGAGGCGCTGATGCTCAGTGCCGTCGTCTGGAGGATGAAGGTGAGGCGCGATGAAGGGTGAGTCCCCTGGCACTGTCACCGTCCCCCCTTTCTCCCATCCTCTCCGATGCCGGGCGTCGCCTTTTGGTCTCTAGGTAAACAAAACCCCTTCCTGGTTGGGGTCCAGACAGAGGATTCTTGAAGACTGTGGTTCCGGCTGAAAGACGGGTGTTTATTTTCACTCCTCCCCCCTGGACCGAGGAGAAGGCAGGGTCACGGCCCTGGGTCGGGTTCGCCGGAAGCAGGGCCGAGACAGATTTGGGGGTCAAGGTGTTTGTTTCACATGTGGGAGGAGGAGCGGGGAGGTGACGTAGAACCAGGTTGCTGTCCGCAGCGGACACCTTGTCCAGCCCGGAGAGCGCTCTCCAGACTGAG